AAACTTGGTGAGCCGACCCGAGCGTTGGAGTTCGGGAAGGCGGGGGTGGGGGACGAGTTGGGTCGCAGTACCCCTCCCTCGAAAAGGGCGCGCCGGGCGAACAGCCACACGAGGGCCGAACAATAGGGGCGGCCGGGCGACGGGAGCCTGGCTCCCGCTTCCTCTGCTGCGCCGGCCGCGCGCCGGACCCCCGCCCACCGCGGCCCTCCCCGCCCGCGTTTCCGCGCTCGCCCTGCCTGCCGCTGCCGGCCTCCCGAGCGCCGCGGTCCGCGGCCGGGCCCGCCGCCTCCTTCCCCTCCCGGGCTGGCCCTCCTTCCTTCCTCGGACTCCGACACCGAGGCGCTGCCTTCGGCGACTCCAGCTTCCACTGAGGCCTCCGCCTTCCCGCTGTTTCATTTCTATATTTTTTAAATTTCCCCTTTATTTTCGGAAGTGGTTTTGATGTCTCACTTTCACCTTAATTTTAATTTGCCATTTCCTGCCGGAAAATATTCTTCAGGAAACCCCAAATCTAAAAGACACTACAGCAAATCCAACAAAACCTTTAACTTTAAATACACCCCGTCTTTTTATTATTTTAATGCCCCCGATGTCGTCTAAACTGCAAAAAGAACTCTCCCCTATCTTCTTAAAATACTGTTATTTTTAAATCTCCATCAAATGCATTTCGACGAGAGGACAGAGAATGTGTCCAGCAGCGCGCAGCAAATCAGAGGTTTTATCTTACGCCTTCTGGGACGGGAAAAAAAGTGGAAGGTGGACGAGGGAGCTTCTAGGCAAGAAAAGCAACACAATTCGCTGGGGACGCGGCCGGGCCGGGCGCGGGGGAGGCGTGGCGGGGCGTCGAGGGCCCTGGCGCTCCGAGCGGGGGAGCGGGGCCGGGAAGGAGAGGAGGATTTAAATAGCGGGGCCGGGAGGGCGTTGGGCCCGCGCATGACGGTACTTTATGAGCAAAGATGGGGCAGCGGAGATTACTTTGCCTTCTCATCCCCCAAGAAAGAAAAAAAAAAAAGTTGGAGGGAGGCGGGGAGAACAGCCATCCTCATTTCCTCCCCTGGTTTCCACGCAAGGATCCGGGCCAAGGCGGGCAGGGAGAGGGCGCGGGACGAAGCGGACCAATAGCAGTCAACAGGTCCAGGCCTCCGCCGGGGCCCCTCCCCTCTTCCCTCGCCGCTTTCCCCTCTTCCCCTCGGTCCCCCACCCCCTCCCGTCGGTCCCCTCCCCCGCAGGCCCGGCCCGGCAGGGAGGCCGGCGCAGCACTCCCCGCCTCACCGGCCTCAACCACGGCCGCCTGGGCCCTGGCTCTCGGGCTGGGGGTGGGGCTGGGGTTCCCTGCCGGAGAATCCTCCCCCGGGGCTGGCGGCGGGGCGGGGGAGGGGATGGAAATAGGGGAATGGAGGATTAAGGTGGACTCGAGCTCGGCACGAGCGCGGCCCGCGCGAGGGATCCTGGGTAAAAAGTGGCCGCGCGGCACCGGGAGAGCGCAGAGAGGAGCCGGGGTCAGAGGTCAGGGCCCTGGAGCCCCGCGTGCACAGCCCCCCACGTGAACGCAGCGAGCAGGAGGAACCTTTTTGTTTTCGATCTCGCCAGCATGCTCCCCTATTGACCGAGCTGCTTTTCCCGGGCCGCTGGAGAGTAGCTCCATCCCGGATCTCCCAATCCCGGATCTCCCAACCCCACCCCCCTGCCACCACCAACACACAACCCAACTCTACCCTTCCTCTCAACTCACTTCCCAGCCCCCCGTACCGGCTTGCAATAACGCAGTAAATTTGCTTTAACAAGTGGGGGTGGTTGCATTTACTCCTCCCTCTCTTCTCTCCTCCCCCTCCTCTCGCTGCGGCTCTTGACACTACTACAAACCAGGACTATAAACATAAACATGTGTCACTGTAACTGGGCAGGTAATATACGGATTTGGGGGTGGGGTGGAGGGGGCTAGGTTGTCGCTTGGGGGGCAGTAAAAAATGTGTCTTTCACGTGCTGGCCGGCTTGGGGGCTTGCCCCACACACGGATCCATTTGTATATTGCCGATGGCACTCCGTCACTCATTCAGCCACACAGACCCACAAAGGCAGTCTTGCCGATAACCACCGTACCCCAAAGCAAATACATTTGAAAACGAAGCCCGCTCCTTGCCCAGCCACCGCTGCCATTTCTTCTATCGGCAAAAAGTAGCGTCAATATTTGAATCCCCTTTCCTTTTTAAAAATTCTTTTCCAGATAGCAATAGAGAACATTTTCGACCTAAATGGTACACCGCTCTCTTCCTATAGACAGCACCTACACATTTTGTGCGCAGAAATCCTTTCAGACAGTAAGAAAGGCGATTTAAATGCCTGGATTCGAAATCTGGGGTGTAAAGGTTATTTCTTGGGCTTCCCCTTCCTGATGTAGCAACTTCTACTCTAAGTTACTGCGACCAGCGCTGTAGAGTCGCCACAGCAAGCTTTTATTATCATTATTATTATTTAGTCTATATTTACACTGCCCCTCAACTTTTTTCTCATTCTTGGTTCAACAAGCCTAGCAACAACTACCTAAGGTAGAGTAAAGCGATTCCCCTGGCAAGCTTTTTGGCCTGAAACAGAGGGAGATACAGAAAATGTTCAGATGGAGAAGTGGTTCCCTTTGTTCTTTCATTGTTTCTCTACGAACTGGTGAATACAAGGACAAACACTTACCTTCTCTTCTTTTTGCTCCAAAAACCAGACGTTCCCATCAGCCTTAACATACACAATCCACCTTGAAAGTAACTACAAATGTCGGGAGAGTTTGTATTCCATTCTTTTTCGCTCTCTGCCCTCTTTTAGCGTAGGATTAGGTTGCCGAGCACGTTGCTGCAAGCTGTAGCCCCCCGCCTTAGTGAATCGGTCACGTTTAGGACCCTCTAAGTCCATCCTAATTCTGCCTGTAGAATTGAGGGTATTGGCCCTCTAAACTTTCAAAAGGAAAGGGGCCTGCAACTACCCAGCAAACTTAGAACACCCTGAAATATTTTACCACTGTATTTTTGTACCACTTCTCCAAATAGAATTTACCAAGAAATATTAGATATTTCTTCGAGGAAAATTTCTTTTTAAGTTTATACTTAGCAACGCGCTATTTAGATGGAGTAAAAACCAAAAAAGGGGGGGGGCGGGTCTATAGGGGCATTTAACGGAATGAGTGTGTTTTTAATAATGTTTGTTATGCCATGTGTTTTTAAAAAACAAAACACTACTAAAACAGAAAGGAAGAAAATAGAAGTTTGAATTATAATGTTGAGGAATGATTTAAAGAGAGGCGTTTATTTGACATTTATGACTGTAAAAATTGGCCTCAAAAGTGAAAAGTAAGCTTTTCAAAGTTAAAGACTTAATTTTCACTCTATGATTCCAAAATAAAAAAGCAACTTTTCTGGTTAGTGTGTGATACTTGTCAGTGTGTAGGACCCAGCCTGGTGGGCATTACTGCCCAAACCTTGTTTAAATCTGATTATGATGTGATTTGTTGAAGCCATGAATATGAAATGATCCTGTGTATCCATAAATGTGAACTTGGGATTTTTTGATCTCCCGCTTTTTTGTGTGTGCCCAGTAGCTGCAGCAGTGGAAGACAGTGATTGGCTCCAGTGCTCGTAGATGGATTTGGGCTGAAGCCAGAGGAACAGAACCAGAGGATTCCCTTTACAGAGGCCAGCAGGCCTCACATGTCTTATCTTTCCCCTGTTCCCTCATGGGTGCTCAGAATTTCAGTATGGCTTCAGCAGCCCATAGGAAGGCCTCAGGACTCAGGTTCAGTTTCTACACATATGGCCCTAGTGGAAAATAAACAAAAATTGGGACAACACAAATAAATTGTGGCTCTTGATATTTGTGTATTATTTAATATATCAGCATTGAACTCTGCTTCCTCAGATTTCTTTTTTCTACATTCAGGATCAATTGTGAGAGGCCCTGGTGTCTCATAGGAAAATATTGCAACAAAACAAGATAATTGGGGGGAAAGACGGTTGCAGTAGGGAAAGTAGCTTTTCTTTGATAGAGTTTAATTGGAATTAAAAGATTCTTGAGCTGTAAACATTCTTTATTTATTCAGCACACATAAGCAGGCATTGTTTTATCACCATCATAATTATGGTGTCCTTTAAACTGGCTGATAGAAAAGATAAGGGAATGTGCCTGTAGATTCAGATCAGGTCTCCCTCCTTTCTTTCTTTCCCTTCCTCCCTCCCTCCCGTTTCTCTCACTACTATCCCCCTCCCCATTCCTTTCTCAGTCACTAGGGTCCCCCACAGCCCTTGAGATGAGGAGAGCAGGAAGATTGTGGCCTAACCATTTCTTACATCATGAAAGTGATTTGTACCACACTCTAATTTGATGCCATCTATAACCTTCTTGTCTTCCATGTTTATAACTGCTTTTTAGCTTACAATATGTGTTATTTGAAGAGTTGCCTATTGCTCACCTGTATAAAATCTTGTCCACTAGGGTTTGTTGCTTTACCTTTTTGTCTAATTTAGAAAGCACACTCTTATGGCTTTTCAGAACAAAGCCTCACAAAAACCCCTTTACCTCCAAGGATTTGCAAATTTATAAAGGCTGCATTGAATTCAAGATGGGTCAGGGGGCATAAAAAGGGTAGAAGGTCACTGCATTTTGATTATGGGTCAGTAGACAACATGGCATATACTCTGTGTCCCAAACTTCTGTTAAAAACAGGATTTTTAAATGCCTTAAGAACAGAAGGATGTGCCCTTTTGGAGACTTGCCCTGATTTGTGTGGATGAGACCAAAAAATTGAGGAAAATATACTAAGTTATAATTTAAGTCATTCCTTAATTTAGCCATTTCCTTCTCCTCTGTTCTCATTTTCCCCTTCCAAAGAGCAGAGAGCATGTGAGATTAGATACATTTAAGTAAGGAACTGTTGACTATCACACAAGCTTTTATTGTCTTATATCTTTGATTAATTCAGCGATATGAGACTTTAAATTATTATTATTTTAGTCTTTGTTACGTTGTATTACAGTTACTTTTGGCTAACAGTACAAGGGGCTTCTTTTATTCTTATAACCACTATACTTACATTGTTGAGGTCTTTGTGATGTTCCTTGGTCTTTTCTGTCTGAATTCACTTTGAACAAAATGTGCCCAGCAATCACTAAAACAAACGTGTATATGGTGAAGAGTTAGGCGGTGGGGATGGTGATGGGGGTGGGTGTTCCTCATTTAAATTACGTATGTAAGGATGAAAGCTTCGAAGAAAAGGATTATTTTAATGCTCTTCAATACTTTAATTATATGACAGTTGTAGTGTAGAAATGCAAAAGTACTCTTAGGCTTTCCTTCAGGTTTTCAAAAGAACTTTCCCCATTAGTAAACTACTTCTGCAAATTGCTATTGCATTTCCCAGCTAACCATTTAAAAGACTGTAAATGCCGTGTGCATTACTTCGCTCCAGAGGAAAGAGGTCAGACTGAATTGTAGTGGTATTTAAACATAAAATATGGTGAAAATAAATCAAAATAGAACATCTGAAGGTAAATTTAGCACATTCACACAGGATAAGTAAAGACAAATATGTTCATATCTTCATAGCCCATCACTTTAAAAACTGAAAGTGTTGATTTTTTTACAATAAATGCAGAAGTAAGTGGACATTAAGAATATATTTCTATTTGTATTTGCCACAGAGGATTCTCCTTTAGCAAACAGCTTTGTTTTCAAAGCTAAAATACTTTTTATGATAGTGTGTAGATGATGCATTCCTCACTGAATAATCACATTTAACTAACAAACTCATTTCATATATATGCCTAAATTCCCAATAAGTAACTCTTGGGTTCCTCAGAGATGGATATACACATAAATGTTAATTTGGGCATATCCACCAACATATATGTGTGCATTTGAGAAACAGAGAAGTTGATATATCTTTTCTTAAAAAAGATTTTGAATACAGTCCATCATCTGAATTGGGTTCATCTTTGATTGTAGAGGCGGCTGACATGGTCAACAAATTTATCAAAGAAACCCCCTGGCTTTTGAAGAATAGTACTTTATACATCTGGATCTGCACATCCAGGCAAAGTAAGTAAATTATTGCATAACTTTAAGCATAATTGATAACAGACACCTTTAATTTTTCATCCCCATTCTTTTGGCCAGCTTTCACATTAATAATCTAAGCCATAAATGTTGGTAGCTATTGATCGAAATCCCCTGTGTGCATGCAAATCCATCTTAAAGTCCCCTGCCTTTCATGTGTGAGCGCTCAGGGGCCTCTGCTAGATCTTTTTATCGGGACCGACCCCCAATGTGCCTGCAGAAGACCCCGGATATGCAACGTGTGCTGATGGCCACAAGAAAGCTGTCTGTCACATTCCGTGTGTGTGTGTGTGTGTGTGTGTGTGTGTGTGTGTGATTGCGAGCGCTCACGCCTTGACACACACACACACATACACATTCAAAGATGGGGAAGTTAAAGGAACAAAAGAATGTATTAGACAAGAAGAAAGATGTGTAATAGGAGTATTAAAAATGTATAAGTGTAAAGGTGTCTCAGTCCACATATAAAGATACTCCCATAAATTGTATATATAGACAAATTCCCAAATCCCCTAGCCTTTTTTTTTCTATATTTGACCCAACAGATGGTGCCTTTAGTTTAAAAATAATACTAAATATGCTATTAGTTTTAAAAATCATCTATATTGCCAGCATTTTAAAGGTAGAAAGAGAAGACAGGAGAGGGAAAGAATGTAATTTTGAAATGGTTACTAAATCATTTTGCCATGTGCAGGAGGAATAGGAGTGTGTGTGTGTGTGTGTGTGTGTGTGTGTGTGTGTGTGTGTGTGTGTGTGTGTGCGCAAATCTAAATAGGAATGGAGAACAACTAGAACTACCTGCCCCCTGCTCCTCCCTCCCCCTCCCCAAAAGGACGCTCTAGCCAACCTTTTGTAACGTCTTCTCAAAGGCTTTTTCTGAGTTTACTATTTCTTGGCTGTTTGACTCTCCGGTGGAAATCTTAAAGCTGGGGGAGGGGAATTGGACGGGGGTGGGGTGAAAGGAAGAGGGCTGGCAGTATATAAGTGCATCAGGAGGAATTTTAAAACATTATTGTCACTGGTCGTAGAAAGACTCTGGTCATTCTACTTTAAAATACAAACACCAGCATCTGCTTTTCCTGGAAACTTTGCTTTCTGCTTAAACCTTTTGCATTTTGCCTCCGGTGAAAGTGAAAGAGAAAAACGCGGTATGATGGATCCAGATGCAAGAGAAAGCCAACTCGGTGGATGGTATTAGCTGTGACGAGGCATTGTTCATTGCTGCCTCTCGGTTACGTTTAAAGCCTGAAATATCACGAGATCCATTCAATGATCCTTCTCTCATTCAAGGGACAAAAATGTAATTTGCTGTAGCTCTGATTTCTTGGATGGAAATGCTAGCCTTAGATTTCAAAGGCAAGAACTAGACATCGCGGTTTGTACACACATTGATTAAGTTGAAGAGCGGCGATTACATCTGTGCTGAGTGCAACAGTAGTCCAGAGCTGACTTTTCAAATCCCAACCTCTGAGTTACAGACTCTCTTAAATAGACTTCCTTAATTTCCGGATGCACTTCTTGAAATTCCCAATTCTCTTCAAAATTCCTGGGAAATTACAAAGGAGATGAGATTGGGGGTGGGGAACTGTGGCTGAGATTTCATGCAAACTACATTTTTGTATGTGATTCCTCGGTTTTTATCTTTTTTTTTTTTTTGAGCCATACCTGCTTGTGCTAGCCAGCCCAGAGGAGGGGAAGCTGGAACTTTTGGATGTAAAGGAAGAAACTGCTGTACAATTTTTTTCTTGCAGCTTCAGAAATATCCGTTTATTCTTTTAACCATACGGATGTGTCTATTTTTGCAGGAACAGGAAACATATAAATGCCTGGATTGCATTTATGTTGTAGTTGCAAACACCGAACAGTTAAGAAGATTTTGCTGAATTGTGCAAAGCAGCCAACAAACCGCCTTGGGATCGTGGTAACGCAACTGGAAAGACCCTTGTTCTCATTTGGCAATATGTTGGATATCCTTGAAAATGACACCAAAATATGCCTTAATTTGACTAAGAAGAGGTTAAACAATATTGATATTCATCCAAAGTGATTTTTTTTAAAGCAGATGCTTGGCTTTCATGAAAAAAAAGGGGGGGGGCGAGTTGTAGAAGATTCATTTGAACTCCCAACCAAAAGCATCATAGACGTCTGAAATGGTCTGCATCATATATCAGCACTTTCTTTTCATCGTTATTACGTAAAACCTCTGGTAGCACCTTGGGCGTTTTACGTTTTCTTTTCTTTGCTGCAGAAGCTAGCAGCTTCCTGGAATTCTGGCCTGCAGTGAACAGGACCCAGGCAGACTGTGCTGGGGACTCTAGGACGATCCCGCCTTCAATCCAGCCTGGTTAATTGGGAAAAGTGTACACATTTCTAGCTTATCTATGCTTTGTTATGGGTCTGACATGAAACTACCTCCTCCCCACCCCACCCCCCAGCAGAGAACCCAAATCCAATTGAATTGTTAGTGTTTCGGAGCTGGAACCTTGAACTGCTTCCTTGGTCAAAAAACTTTGTTTCTGGTTTTAAAAAGGCATTACAGAAAAAAAAAAAAGAAAGAAAATCGAGAGAAATTCAAAACGTAAGTCCGTACTGGGGCGGCTCACCGCGCGGATTTAACTTTGGAGCTCGCAGCCGGTCGGTCTCCTTCCCCATTCCCATAAGGGAAATACCAGGCTATTCTGCACATTTTCACTTAATCTCCATTTTCCAAAGGAAAAGGGGGTGGGGTGTATCTATTTAGGGTTGATAATGTTTTTTAAATGCTTTTCTTTGAAATGATAATAGCTGTAGCGGTAAAATGCAAATAAAGCAAAAAAATAGGCAATATTCCTTTAAAGGCGAATATACAGTTTTGTGTGTGTGTGTGTGTGTGTGTGTGTGTGTGTGTGTGTGTGTGTGTGTGTTTAAGCGTACACACACTGGTTCAGATGAAGTCTGTGAGTCAGGCTGTTTCTGAGCTCCGATAGTTTAATGGAAAGATTTATATACCGACTGTATTATTTACTTTGGGAGGGGAGGTGGCAGTATAAGGGTATGCTAATTAGTGGGAGATTTTGGGGGGAAGGGGTGGAATATCAATTTTTATTGCATCACCTGTCAGGAGTGTCCAATCAGCGCTGGCTTTAGGGGAATTAATTGATGAAGGTGTCTCCGGACGAGCTCACTTCACTCTGTCATTTTATTTGTAGCTAAAGCAGCGGCGGGAATAGCAGCTGCATTTCTTTTCTCTTTCTCCCTTCACATTCCATTATCATAGTGCTCCAATGGAGAAGGAAGGAATAGAGGGGCCCAGGTACTGATCTGCATCGGGGACTTACACCAACTCACTGGTAGATCAAAAACCGGATGGTTTTTTCCCTCTTTTTTAAAAAAACGAAAACCAAAAAAAAAGCAAGAATCAAGTCAGTGTAATTTCATGTTGTTGGTTTTTTTTCCAATAATTTCGCCTAGAGTTTGGCACTCCCTTCGCCGGGAATAACAGTCTTTGTTATTTTATTAGCAGGATGCCTTGAGACACACGCAGCATCTGGTGGAGGATTAACATACATACATGTGTATGTATGCGTCACGTATATATTTGCTGCAAATGGTGGGGATCATTTAGTGCCCGAGATGGGAGACCTGAAGTCAGGTTTTGAAGAGGTGGATGGCGTGAGGCTCGGCTACCTCATCATTAAAGGAAAGCAAATGTTTGCTCTCTCCCAAGTCTTCACGGATCTGCTGAAAAACATCCCGAGGACTACCGTGCACAAGCGCATGGATCATCTGAAAGTGAAAAAGCACCACTGCGATCTGGAGGAGTTGCGGAAACTCAAGGCCATCAACAGCATCGCCTTCCACGCCGCCAAATGCACGCTCATCTCCCGGGAAGACGTGGAAGCGCTCTACACCTCCTGCAAAACCGAGCGGGTCCTCAAGACCAAGCGCAGGAGGATCGACCCGGCCCTGACCACAAAGGCCCCGCCGCCAGAGCGCGCCGCCGCCGCCGCCGCCGCCGCCGCCGCCAGCCCCCGCCCGGCTTTCTGGAAGGACAGGCACCAACTTTGGCGGGGCCTGAGCGGAGCCGCGCGGCCCCTGCCAATCAGCGCGCAGTCCCCGCGCCCGGGCGCCGCCGCCGCCGCGCGCCCCGCCGCCCATCTACCTCAGATTTTTAGCAAATACCCGGGCTCGCACTACCCGGAAATCGTGCGCTCGCCTTGCAAACCCCCTCTAAACTATGAAACTGCTCCGCTCCAGGGAAACTACGTCGCTTTCCACTCGGACCCGGCTTATTTTCGGAGCCTGCTGTGCAGCAAGCACCCAGCCGCCGCCGCCGCCGCCGCCGCCGCCGCTGCCGCCG